CTCAGGTGCTGAACTCACAGCCACCTGGGGCCTTGGGATCCTCACTGGGTCTTGGTCCTTTTCTGAGGCTCTTTTACATCTGGGTTCCTCTCAAGGATGCAGACAGACACTCAGCAGACACTCTCAGCGTGGTGGGTTAAAAAATACCTCTGCATTTATTTGAGTCCTTCAAAATAACTAAGAGTGTTTGCTCGGCAGAAACCACTCACAAATTATAGCAATGGCAAAAAAACAATGACACCATACTTGCACTGGGCAGAGGCTGAGCCTGAAGCATTAACTCCTTGTGGCTTCCTTCACTGGGGTAATCTTGCCACTCACCCGGTGGGTTAAAAAATACCTCTGCATTTATTTGAGTCCTTCAAAATAACTAAGAGTGTTTGCTCGGCAGAAACCACTCACAAAATACAGCACTGGCAAAAAACAACAACAACACTATACTTGCACTGGGGTAATCTTGCGACCTGGCTTTCTCACCCGAAGGTTTAAGAAAGAGAGTCCACTCCCACAGGCATAGTCCACAGCATTCCTGGTTGCAGTCCTGAAGGCCTCAGCCTCTGTTCGTTCCCTGTGTGACTACTGCCCGATGTTCGGTAAAGGCCTCTTATCAGTTGGTCAAGGCCACCAGGTGTTTTTAATTAACGCTCAGCCCCAAACAGGCTGCAACCAGCCTGTGAAAACTTATAGCTTGGTCGCATTAATAAAAGCCTAAGTTCTGTAAGTTCTAATCCTTACAGTCACATGTGGGCACTTGGCCATACGTGGGGGGAGATTCCCCATTCTGAAGCATCTTCAGTCATGTCCAGGAATGGGAGAGAATGTCTGTGGCCCTTTTAGTTTGAATATATTGAATTTCCCCACAGCACTTCTTTGCAGAGATGCTTTGTTTCACGCCTGTGTTGTTAGCCAAATTGCCACAAATTATTAATAACTATGGGGAATTATGATATCACGCAAGGCAATAGGGAAATAAGGGAGCAAGCACCTATGTGTACAGGGATCTCACTTCTTCCAGACGCACCAGAAAAAGACTCAAAGGCTGGCTTCAGTATAAAGTGGTTTCGTTTACCAGAGTTATTCAACAAACATACAATAATTCAGGCACACTCACAGTTACACAGAACTAAGAATATCAGAGAGAGGAGGATAGCACATTCGCATTAGCAGGATGATCGTTGAGGGGCAATACTTTACCTGTCCTCGGTGGGATGAAGCGACCCTTAGGAAAAAATAAGGGAGACTATAGGGTATTATGGTCATGTCCTGAACCAGCAGAAACACATGGAGACTCTGGCTGCACAAACCAAGAGTCATGGAGGTGGGGTGGGTGTAGATGTCGAGAGAGAGAGAGAGAGAGAGAGAGAGAGAGAGAGAGAGAGAGAGAGATGGCGGGGGTGCATCTCTTTTTATGAGGGGGCTTTGGGGGGGGGGCTAAGCTGGCCACATCCCCTGGCACACCTCCTATTAGTCTGTCCCCAAAAACATCCTGATTGGAACTGGGTTCAAGGGGGAAGGTCTAAGGGAGTGGACAATGTTGAGATCTAGTAATCCTGGGCAAGACAGTGGCACCTGGAGGGAGGATGACTCATGCGGCCAGAGGCATTGCCATGGACAGGGGTCATTTGGGGCTGGAGCAGGCCGGAGCGCTGCTCCGGGAGCCCAGAAGTGGGCACAAATGGTGGTGGCGGCAAGCCTCGCCCCCAGCTCCCTGCCCCCAAGCCAGTTTGGTGTAGTGGTTAAGTGCGCGGACTCTAATCTTGGAGAACCGGGTTTGATTCTTCACTCCTCCACTTGCACCTGGCTGGATGACCTTGGGCAAGCCTTCGTTCTGATAAGAGCTGTCCTTGAAAAAGAGCCGTTTCCGTCAAGAGCTCTCTCAGCCCCACCTACCTCACAGGGTGTCTGTTGTGGGGAGGGGGAGGGAAAGGCGTTTGTAAGCCTCTCTGAGACTCCTTCAGGTAGTGAAGGGCAGGGTATAAATCCAGTTTCTTCTCCTCCTCCTCCTCCTCTTCTTTGGGTGCAATCTGTCAGCCAGTTACAGATCCACCTAACGGTCATAGGATCCAAACCACTTTTTACCAACTTGTCAACAAGAATATTATGTGGAACCCAACGCTCCCTCTAAGTCGTGGAATCTTGTGAGCTAGAATTCTACTTTGTGAGCTACTGGCATTAAAGTTGTGAGCAAGCGATTTGGCTGCTGCATAAACTAGTTTGCTCTGGAGCCATCCCTCCTGAACGAAGACAAAAACGTGTGAGCCGGAGGCTAAAAAACTGTGAGCTAGCTCACACTCACTCACCTTAGAGGGAACACTGGTGGAACCCTATCAAAAGCCTTACTGAAATCAAGAAAAATGGTATCTATAGCATTCCCCTGATCCAGCAAGGATCTTTCTCCAAAAAGAAGAGATAAGGATCTCAACTTTCTCCAAAAATAAGAGATAAGGTTAAGCTTCCGCTCCTTTAACTTGGACAGACCCAGAGGCTTAAAAACAGAGAGTTGTATTCTGCTGCATGTTCCAAAATCACAATTTTTTTTGCATCCCCCTTTTCAGGCTACTTGAAACTTTGGCAGATCGGCAAGCCCCAGCTCTCCAGCTACGACGCCATATTTGTCGACGAAGCCCAAGACTGTACTCCTGGTGAGTAACGTGCAGGTTCCAGTTGAAACAGCGTGGGCTTTTAGAATGTGCATCTTTCACACACACCTCTTCGAAGAGGGGCTGCGCGTCTGGGAAGAGTTTGAGGGGGGCAGGGAAGCAGCACATGAAGAGGCAGGGAAACATTCACTTCTCTTAAAGCGGGACGTGATGGGCAGTGTAAATCGGTGTCTCATTCTGCCCCAGGGGGCCGTGCTGAGCCAGGGACGCAGATGCAAATTATTCCAACAGGCCAGCCCTTTGGAACAAGACTAACAATGTGAATGTCAACAGGGATAAATGTGAAGTTAAATCAAAAGAGTTTTTGGCTAAACATTAGAAAGAACTTCCTGATTGTTAGAGGGGTTCCTCAGTGGGACGGCCTTCCTCGGGAGGTGGCGAGCTCTCCGTCTTTGGAGGTTTTCAAACACGAGGCTTGATGGCCATCGAACAGCAATGCGCATTCTGTGAACTTAGGAAGATCACGAGAAGGGAGGGCAGGGAGGGTTGCCTCAGTGCTTAGTTCTCGTGGCCCTTTCTTACATGCCCAGGGAAATGCCAATCGCCACTTTGGGGTCAGGCAGCAATTTCCCCCCCAGCCATTTTGGCTGGAGATCCTGGAGGGATTTTTTTGTCATCGTCTGGACACAGATGAGGGATCACTGGGGATGTTGTGAGGATGTAGCTACGAATTCCCTGCATTGTGCAGGGGATTGGAATAGATGACTCTTGAGGTCTTTTCCAGCTTTATGTTTCTATGAAGCACACACAAAAAAGTATCGAAGGCGGCTTCCGGTCTGGCTCCCGCGCATGGCGGACGCTTCCTCGGGTCGCTCCTGAGGGCGCCTCGCCCGCCCGCGGTGGAGGAGGGAATCCGCGCGAGCGGAGACCCGAACGAGCCCCTCAGAAGAGAGGAGCTCGGATCCGGGGCGCTTTAGGGCGCACTAGGGGGGAGTCGCTCTTTCGGCCGAGAGGTCGGAGAGCGAGGCTCCCGCC